ATTGGATTGGGTTAATAATCTTAATATTGATTATCCCCCGCTTTTGGTATATTGATAATCAGAAGATACATAAAGTAATTTTTTATTTAATGCTGCCCCAAAATATCCTTAGAGCATCTCCAATGGTAAAATGTGCACGGTGCACACGTGGCATGAGAAATAACCACATAAATAGTAGTAAATAAATTCTTTCTCTCCTTATTTGAATGATTTTATATAGTTTTGGTAAGTTTTTCTCCACAATGTCAAGGAGACCGTCTAGATGTTGACATTGTTGTTGACATTGCAGGAAAAAACTTACCAAAATGGTGTAAAATCATTCAAATAAGAAGAGAGATTATTTATTTGCTAATATTTATGTGGCTATGACACATGCCACATGTGCACCGTGTACATTATAGCATTATATAATGTGCACTTACAATCCGTTACTTCATTATACGGAATATTATATACTCCGTATATAACAGAGTTAGTTATCATTTAAAAGAGTTAGTTATTTTCTAATATGAAAATGAGAACTTTTTAAATGCAGCATTATGTTGGAGCCGTATCATTCATAATCCTTGTATTTCCATATTTGCATGTACGCACTTTAGTATAGAATATTGTGTAGGCTAATTCTTAGGAAGATATTTTTATTCTTTCTTTATTCGTTTCTTTCCTTGTATGGCTTTATAGCCTCGTAGCCTAGCATGTTCCTATGTATATATATTTGTAAACTCATTCTGGGAGAGACACGAATAAAACCTAATTCCATACACCATAGCTTTGTTCTCTCTTGTTAGCACATAGCCACATACAGTAGCTCGGTTCTCATTTGACATGGTATCAGAGCAGTGACACGATCCTGCCAGCAAACCTCTCAACATCTCAACGACCTTCTCCTATTTTCTGCCATGACGACCCCCGAAACTAAAACCGCCCACTCAAACCCAGATTTGAGGAATGATACGGCTCCAACAATGATACGGCTCCAACACATTCAAAAGAGGAAAATTCATATTAATTTTAATATGCGATGGTGAAATTATCATTTAAAAGAGTTAGTTGTTTTCTAAAATGAAAATGAGACCTTTTTAAATGCAACATTCAAAAGAGGAAAATGATAGTTTTTTTGGGAGGAGGAAGTGTAAGTTTTTGTCCGATTTGCATTTGTTTACATTTAAAATTTTACGGAGTATTATTTTGATCAAATTATATGATGCACTTTGAATATGCATTGTTTTTCACATTGTCTGATTTTATTCAATTTATCACATGTTATTTTGTATGACTTTTGTGTTGTAGAAATCACATTAATATGATATGTGGTGTTAACTGTTTTTTCATTTGGAGCCTCTAGAGTTCTAAAGACGCCTCTAGGTTGTAGTTCTGAGATTATGTAGCTCTAGTGTGGTTTAGAGAAAGTCAAAGTTCTATAGTGTACTACATATGTATAAGGAGTTGAGTATAATTAAAAAGATCTTTATTACTCTTATTAGTGTTATTTGAGGACATTAGAATGCGTAGAATGTTTCAAGAGATTTGTTGAATTCTAATCTAATATGGATTTCTAAATTTGTTTTTAATCGGACTGAAATTTTCAAGTCTGAACTGGTCTGTTTTGCTTGATTTTTTTCAAATTATGAAGGACGGTGCGCAATAAAGGTTGTTGTTTTGGAATTATGTAGTTTTTATGTGGTTTAGAGAGTCAAAATTCTAGATTATATGATGGGTGGAGTTTAATTAAGAACATCATTATTACTCTTATTAGTGTTATTTGAGGACATTAGAATGTGTGGAATGTCTCATGAGATTCAGGAGATTTGTTGAATTCTAATCTAATATAGAGTTATAGATCTGTTTTTAACCGGATTGAAAGTTTCTGGCCTAACCTGGTCGGATTTACTTAAATTTGGTCTTGTCTAAATTGGTATGATAGATGTCTGATCTATCGACATTTGAGAAACTTTTACATAAATAAGGTGTAAAACTTTATTGAATTCTAATCGAAACACAACACAGCTTACCATAATTCATAACTATATTCGTGAAATTTTCGAGAACCATGTTTTAAGATTTTTCTTTTGAAAGGTGGTCTAACTTTCCATGGAAGAAACCTTACGCCGCAATTCGATCTCCTAGGGCAGCCGCCTCTAGGTTTTTTCCGAATTCGATCATATTGATCGAAGTTCGGCTATTCTTGTTCGCATATCTGGCCGCGGAGCAGTGGTCTGCTTTTGGCTAAGGTAGAGCGATCACGAGGTTTTTTCTCTAGGGCTTTGACTATGTCGGTCGCTGGAGCCTTTTTCCGATTTCGACTTTATCGAAGATCGGCTTTGTTATCCCTTGGTCGCTAGTGCTCGACTGGAGTCCAGGTCAGACGCGGAGGGCGGAGATCGGTGGAGGAGGGCAGATTTGTTGTCATGCCTCGAGGAGATCGGCGCTGTGGTCAAGGTTCGAGGATGCGGCGTTGCTGTCGTCGTTGGAGAAGATCGGCGCCGCCTGTCCGCTTACTCTGGTCGCTCGGAGCATGGATGAGTTTGGTTATGCAGGGACAGAGGATTGATGAATGGTCTTTGGCAGCCAAAGGTCATGGAGGATCAATTAGCATGGTACCAGTGGTACGACCTCCTCCTGAACCACCACCATGGGATGCACGAGGTGCTAGAGTTCTTGAACGTTTTTCTTGTAGTTTTTATCTGTTTGTTATTTGTTTTCTTGCGTCCATTTTTGTTGTTGGGTTTGACAGTTTGTTTGAGTTTTTTGCCTCTCTTTATGTCATTGGGTATGGTTGGATCTATTTATTGAGTAGGCAACTGGTTCCTCAAAGCCAACCAAACATTAAATGAAAGTTTCGGGGGGATATAGGATTTCAAAATGAAACTCATCGGAGTCCTAGGGATCCCTTTAACTCGTAGAAGCTCGTAAACCTTGGCGGAGGCAAGTTTGCCATCAATGCTTCTAGAGTTAAGGCCCAAAATCGTATCATTCAAATTATTAAAGCATCCATGGATTTTATCTCTAATTTGCCCCAACCTCTTCATCAATTGTGAGTCACGACTGTGTGGGATAAAATCCCACACACTTTTCCCATGGAGATATATGTCATTAACCCACCTTACCCATAAGGTGTCTTTTTTATTATGTACATCCCATAATGTGCGAGAAAGGAGGCTATCGTTCCATATTCTAGCATTATGGATTCCTAACCCACCCTCCTCTTTTGGGAGACAAATGTCATCCCAAGCCACCTTTGAGAACTTGCCCCCCATAAGAAAATCCTACAAAACGAAACAATCCTATCCAACACGGTTTGTGGCACCGGGAAGACTTGGAGCCAAAACGATTGGACCCCTTGGATCACCGATCGAATTAGCTCTATCTTACCAGCATAGGAGAGTGTCTTCGTATTCCAAGCGTTAAGAAAGTCTTTGACTGTATCTAATAACGGTGCGTATTGTGCAATCGATATTTTTAAAGGGGCAAGGGGTATTCCAAGGTATCTAACCGGAAACGTACCTTGCCCGAAGTCGACGAGGCTCAAAATGTTTTGCAATTCAAGGTCCCTCACCCCCCCCCCCCCCCTCCCAACGAAGATATTGGGTTTTCCGTGGTTCACTCTAAGGCCAGATGTAGTGATGGCAACCGGGCGGATCGGGGACGGGTACACATAAAACCGAAACCGCCCCGTTGGATAAATGTTTGCCCCAAAACCGCCCCATTACCCATTCGGGTAATTTTTATTTGAACCGTATCCACCCCAATGGGGAATCAGTTTATCCACGGGTAACCGTTTCCCCAAATGATACCAAATAATCATTTTCTTTAAAACAAATAACCAATTTCTAATCCTACTTGATATTTATATATCTAAAGCACCGTACCCTAAAACATACAAAAGTAAATATTAAGCAATCAAGCAGACTAGCCTAAATTCATTAGTATGACATGCACCTAATATCTCTTGTAACATAATAAAAAAGTAGTAATCATCCTAGAATCCAAATTCCAAAAACAGGTTTAGGCATATATTTAGTGTTAGGCCTAAAAAAGTAGTATACCTTTTAGCATTATTTATATGATATATATTGTACTATTTAGTATACACAATTTAGCATATATACTTATTATTCTTATATATAAAAAGTAATAATTCATTAATAATGTTACGGATCGGGTAACGGTGCGGGTACCCGCACCATTAGTGAACGGGGCAGTTTCGGGGCGGATTAGTATAGAACCATAACCGCACCATTAACCATTTAAAAAAATCGGGTATTCCCCGCCCCGTACCCATTCCCTAGTCAAACCGGTTTTCCCCAATTTGACCAAATCAGTTCGGTGCGGGTATCCAACGGGTCGGCCAAAATTGCCATCTCTAGCCAGATGCGTCTCCAAACTCTTTAAGAGATTTTACCAAAATTTCTATGGAGTAGGTATCCCCCTCGAAAAGAGCATTTACTTTTCTGTGAGGCCGTTTACAACACTTTTTTTCGACTTGATTTTTTCGTGCTCTGAATTGTATAATAAGCATAAAATGTAAGATAAGAATTACTTTTTTGACTGTATTGGTTGAAGTTACTGTAGATGATCATTTTAGCTATTTTTATATATAATTTTTTCTTTGTTTGATTAATAAAATATATTTCAAAAATAATTTTTTCTTAAATCAGCAGATTCAACCAATGCAGCCACTTCAGCCAGAACTTCATAAATTTAAGCAGAATCAGCCAAACCGGCCGATTTTTGAGCTACCAAACGGGCTCTGGATCTTCATACATGATATATACAATGTTTTTTAAAATAAACGAAATACGACTTCAAAGTTACAAGTTCACATAGTACCATATTTTTGAATATTTTTAAACCTCAAATGTACACGAGATATCATGACATAGACTAACCATCCACTTCTCCTACGGAACATCTCTAAAATCTCCCCTCCGGCCTCCTCCAAACAAACCTTAACAGTACTCATGTTCTTAATTAGAATTATGAAAGATAGCTAATTAACGCATGCATTCATCAAGGCAAGCTATATATTGGCACAATGTAAATTGTAGTACAATTTGTACAAAGGTGAGACCTGTTACAATATTGTATGCATGCAAAAGAGAATAGGAAATTCAATTTTTTCAAAACAATTAACAATGCACGGTTAATCGGTTAATCGACGATCACTGCTGTTATTTTGTGTTTAAAGACGCTCAACCGCGAGAAATTACAAGTGTCACAGAGCAACAGCCTCTTTATCATAACTTCACCAAGTGTTATGATGTTTAATGGTGGAAACAACTGCTTCAATGCTCTCGAAATTGCGCCGTTCTTTCAAAAGCAATTTTGCAAAGTTCAGAGCTTGCCTTTCACATTTAGCTCGTTTCCCAATATCGGAAATTGATTCAAAATCCTCAACATGAGCTACACCAACAATTCTCCTGTAGTTCAAGTCATTTAATAAAAATTAAGCAATGAATTTCAAGGGCGTTCAGATCCAGTAATGTAACATGACCTAGGTTTTTTATTTATAGAATGTTATGATGTAACTAGGTAGGGTAATCTGATTACCTCAACAATATAACACTACCTTTCATGTCTCTATTTTTACAACTAGAACGGAGAGAATAAGACTGCATCCATTTTCTTATGCGTTTATACGATAACCACAGTACTACCTCCGTCCCAGAAACAGTGTTTCCTAAGGTACATTTTTCTTTGCAAGGCTTAAATATTGGAAACCATCAATCCTAACTATATTTTAAATTTATTTATTGGTTTAACTATACTTCCTTGACATTTTTATACTTTTATAAAAAATACTACTCCGTAATATAGTAAAAGTTAGATTATTTAGTTATCTTTAAATGTAGGTTAGATTAGTTAGTTCAAACAGGGCTATTTTTGGACAAAAATTAAGTATTCAAATAGGATTTTTTTTGGACCGAGAGTAATATATACACTACTCCGCGCTTGGCCTTAACCTTTTGAGAATACTTTAAGATAACCTCATACAATGTGTAAACTTGCATTTCATTACATACAGTAATGGAAAAACATGCGATAATATCTCATAATCCATAAACCAAAAAATCCCAGAGTCACTGGTGAATCTATAGTGTTTGACCTGTGTAATAAGCTGAAATCCTCAACACAGTGATTACTATGCAATTTGTTTCAGCGTAAGAAAAAAATTATTAGCGACCAACCATATAATAAACCAACTTCCTAAAATGCATGAATCTTAAAAAATGTACCTTATCATCTTGGCAGCGCCGAATCCAAGGGTGTCATGAAATACATCTTTCATATACTTCTCTCTAACCAGATTCTGAACCTCAGAATTGTTATATATATCAGAAAGATACGCCTCACCGGGCCCATCCTTCTGTTCATCCCATAAAGCAATGAACTTTTTGTGGAAGAGGCTCCAAGTATCTGCTATTGTCTTCAAAATCCATTCTTTATATAACTGCACATGAAAAGACTCTTATGCTATGTTTGGAATGCGGGAAAAGGTACGGGAAGGAAACAAATGCTATGGAAAATAACTATTTTTGTTTACCTTTATTTTGGAAAAATACTAAGAAAAATCAAATGTGATTAAATCTTTTTAAAATTTTACATATATATTTAATTCTTTGACTTTATATCATACAAATACAATAACAACATCCAAGCCTTATTCCCAAAAGATTTTGGGGTCGGCTAACATGAATCAATCCATGTTAGCTGGGCCGGCTTGGAATGAAAATACAAATAATACAAAAATATTCTTTACAAATAATACAAAATATTTGTTTTATATTTTTATATAATACAATATAAAAAAAATTATTTTGAACAAACATCTAAATCGAGTTTGAACACATTCTTTATTTTCCTCAAATGCTCTTACATTCTAAAGTCTCCTCTATTTTCATTCCCTAGCATTTATATGTTCCACACAGTAAAAATGCATAGGGCCTCTGCAAGTAGCAGGGACTATAGTCGGATTGTGACTATAGTCCAATTTACATCCTCCCATCGTGCCGTCCGGTCGGTGTTGGGGGCCCTAAGGGATGGGGTGTCATCCTTTTTTTATATGTTCCACACAGTCTATACACTTAATAAATCAGTGTGAAAATTGAGACATGAATGGGGCCCGCCCAATAATAGTACTGATACACGTGCAAGTGGGTGGATAGTATATTCTAGGAAAAGGAAAGGCAATCAAAGGTTTATGGAAACAAATCAGGAGCAAATCAATGAGGAGACATAATATAAAGAAGAACACAATTAGTGGGATTAATCATTAATGGCTACAGTAGCACAATTTAAGGGATGTGACATCTATATTGATACACTTACTTTATTTATGCAGAATAATCTATTATAAATAAGGTCCTAGACTAGAAGAGGAGGGGATCGGGAGTCATTACAATAATTTAGAATAGTTGGGCAGAGGTTCATCTCTGTTGGAGGTTGCCTTCTAGGTACCTTGTCGTTGTTATCTCTTTTCATTTCCAGAATAAAGAATAAAGAATTGCTATTGTGATTTGAGTCTACCCTGCCTCTTTACTCTATCAAGTACTCTGTCTACCCCAAACAAAGGGTCATGTTTCAAGATGTCCTTTTTCTGAAGAAAATACTAGTTTTAAGAGTCAACATTAAATTTTAAAGTCATGATAATCAACCATTCTTGAAGGAACCATCACTGGACGACAACACCACTGGAATGAAATAAATACTCAGGGTGTTTGGTGTCCGTGTCTAGCATAGGCATAGAGACAGTGGTTGACTAAAATGATAAATAAGAATCATAGGGGGATAAGTGACCACTGGTGACAAAAGCAAAAACTTGTACCTTGATTGAGTTGACTAAAACTAAAATGTGGTAACTTATTCAAACTAGACTCTTTTGCTGGGAGGGGTAAGGAAATACAAAAGCATGACCATAAAATTTTATAGGCAGCACAAACCTCGCGGTCATTACCCTGATTTGCATGTCCATCTTGAGCATAGTAAGACAAAACTAAGTTCCCAATAAATGCTCCAATATCAAATCCCATTGGGGCATAAAATGAAAATTCAGGATCAATGACTTGAGTTGACTCGGGAGTAACCATGACAGAACCTGTATGGAAATCGCCGTGTATAAGAGCTTGTGTTCTTTCACAAAACCTGAAAAGTATCACCAAACAAATATACAAGAAGCTTCTTTAAACTTAAAGCATAGTATTATTTTAAAAAGTGAGGTGGAAAGAGCTAAATAAACATATTTTCAGTTGGAAATGTTACTTTGACTTTAGCTCTGCAATTTCAAGCTTCAAAATATTATCATTTCGCACTGCCTCTGCATCAGCATCTAGATATGGAGTTGTCCAGCGGTTATATTGTGAAACTTTGTATGGATCAGAGAAGATCACCTGTTCTGTGAGTCTACACATTTCCACATTTCCACAAAATTCTGCAACTGCGTAGAGGAATAAATGGCTTTAGGTTGACAAGTCAAAGATACTGAGACTATGACCCTGTTTGGGAAATGGCTGAATCTGCTTAAAATGTGGCAGAAGCGGCTAAGTATGTGGAATTATCTAAAATCTATGAAGAAAATGATATCTAAAATCTATGAAGAAAATGATATCTAAAAATGAAGTTCCAAATTTCATTTTCATTAGAGTCATCCCATCCAAATAAAGTTAAGTCTAGCACTATTTTTTTCCCATCATCATCCGATTCAAAAGTGGAATAAGTTAACGATTAGTGAAAAATCTGCCTTGCAAGCAAAAACAACTCCAACCAATCAGGAAGGCACTAATTCAGATATCATCTACATCAAGGAAACATAACACTTGAATTAAGATAATACTACCAAAGCTATCAGCAATGGGCATCAAAGAAGAGAAGTCTTATTACAAATTAATAATATGGGGGCCTAAAGAAGCTATTTGAAAAAAATATGGATCACTAATTCGATATATACACATACCAAATTCAAGCAAAATTAGTGAAATTTTAAAATCAGTTACCTGCACGTTTGTGGTCGGTAGTTGTAAGATAAATCAAGGAAGTGAAAAAAAGTGTCTTAGACATGTAGTCTGATATATGCTCAGCAAGCAATGGATACTCAATCCCTGCAATCAGTCCTTTCCTTAAGATTATATGAGGCGGTTCAATGTAGCGCATGCCAATTAAACACATGGTTCGGTCAAAATGGTAAACTTCAGGAGTATGTTCAGGGCATAAGCGTCCATGCTCTTTTAAAGTTGTCACCTCAAAATAAGCACGTTCCTTTGACATTGGCCAGGACTCGCCAATACATCTTACATATGGGATGGCCTACAAACAACAATGATACTCAGAGGGTTTTAATGAATGATCAAGTCATCAAACCATAAAAATGCTTGAGATTTATCCCATGTTTCATTAACATAAAGCACTCAGTGTCTGGCCAAAATTTCTTTAGCACTATATTATGTAATCAGACCATTGCACACTAATGATTATCCAAACCTGCATTTTTAATTAGTCACTTCTGAATTCAAATTTTACGATTCATATTATGTAACTACCTTAACTAACAAAATTTACTCCCTATATAAGCACTTCAAATTGATCTCTAAAGAGTAAAGACATTGTAAAGCTGAGATAAAAATCGCTGAAAATATTCTAAGAATTTAAAGCAGTAAATTTAGAAATTCAGGAACTCTTTAAGTAATCAACATCAAAGAGCTGGACATTAGAACGATCGATCAAGGCGATAACTCAGGTAATCGGTCTATCTTATCACTTATCAGTCTACACAGGGGCATAAACAGATTTTCATTGCAGAGAAAAGAATAAACCAAAACGATAGCGTTTTTAAGCAAACTCACTGAAGGAAGGAAAATTAGGTACCTGTTTGATGACAAGAGAACCAGAAGGACCGATAACAACGTAAACAAAGTTAAGATTTCCATCACCGACTTCTCTAATTTCCAGTTTATCGAGCTGATGTGGTTCATTTCCTACTAGTATTGAAGTCAGAGACGGAGTCGATTTTATGTACTCCGCCACCGATTTTTCGTCCAGGGGCCGGAATCCATCAGAAGCCATTCTTCTCAGAGGCGGAGTAGACGGCGGTAATGGCGGCAATTTAGTAAAGTATAAAAAATGATAGCTTTGGGGAATATATTTCACAGTGCGTTACATTGAACCTGGACGATGGGGTGTTTGGATCTGATTCTCAAAACTGATTCTGCTCCTTCATAGAGCAGAAGCAGAAGCTGGAGTGTTTGGGTGAAATTCCAGAAGCACTTCTGGAGCTCTAATTTACTCTCAGAATCAGTTTTTTTAGAAGCTGGGGGGTACCAGCTTCTGAAAACTGATTCTGATTCTGCTTCTGCTTTTAAAACAGAAGCAGAAGCAGAATCAGTTCCAAACACCCCCGATGAAGAAAAGTCAGCTTCCTAAAATTTAGATTCCTTTTGTATTCTGCAGACGGGAAGATTCTTTTGTTTCGTGGCAGTTCTCTAATTTTAACCCACTATTACCTCTTTCCCGTGTATTACACAACTTCATCTCAAATTCATCTGCAAATTTGATTTTTTATCGAAGAGCTTTGTTTTATTTACTTAATTAGAATGTCAGTTTTTAATTATACTCTAAATTAGAATTATCAAATTTGAAAAGATTTTAATTTAATTTTTTGAATGTGTAAACCTTAATTATTAAAAATTGAATGAATTATCTATATGAAAGATATAATTTTAATATTAATTGACAAAAAATATTAACTTTACAAACCGATTTGGAACAGGGGAGAGTTTAACTTTAAGTATATGTAAAGACTAAAGACAATAACAAAATGCAAAGATAGCCAAGGTGCAGCCATGTTGGCTCAGTTACTGACCTAACCGGCTTATGAAATTCTATTGTTTAAGACTTTATAACCGGCATAAATTTTGGATAATGCTTGAATAGAACTCTTTTAACAAAGAGCTTTAGTTTGTAGAATAATTTCATGTTTAATTGTAGGTGTGCTGAGAAAAATAATAGCATTCGTTGCCATTCGATCAAACATTGTAAACACAATAGAAAATAGATAACACAGTCTCACTCTTTAATCAAGCTTGTAACTCTTTTCTTATACATTTCATATAGCTTAAGATTAAGATAGTAGTAGGCCTTCTACTTGTTCCCACCCAATGGTATATTTCCATCCAAATGAAACTAACAGGGTAGTAATAAGACCTCACTTACTCGAATTAATGTAATAGTACAAACGCCAAGCTCTTTCAGTATTCACATGAAAAAACGTTATCAATAATATAATTGTCCATCTATTCCACAAACTCAAACATAACATCAAAAAGAGTTTAGGAGCCTATTCGACATAAAAGATGTCAATAATTTACTTTACATTTACTTCTAAGTACATTACACACTTTTCTTGCACAAATAACTTTGTTAATACACATGAAGTTGGGAGTATATGGTTTCCCACTCCCCACCAAACACTTTTAGGAGATAATCTTTTATTTTGACCAGCATCTTCAATAAAGGCGATGTTGTATTTGGCACTTAGTCTCATACACTTGCTTCCTTGATATAGGCTTCATGGATTGATTTTACTCAGTGTATAATTTTCAAAGTGAATATACCATATTGTCTTTGCAACAAGAACTAAATTTGGTCCATACTTTGCAAACCTTTAGTTCAGGCCCACATCCTCTTTTGATTTTCAAATATCAACTCAAGCCATTTTAGCACTATGTGCATCCTATAACAAGTGTCTACATTTGGGAACACTTGCCGTCAGTAAGAGTGGACACTATATATGAATCATTTAGGACACACTTTTAGTTTTTCATTTTTAGATAAACACTATGTCTTTTTCAATCATAGGGAGAGTTGTGATATAGAAAAAAATAACTTATATTGGTGCTAAAGGGATTCCCAGATATCTCACGTAAAATTGGCCTTCAAGAAAGCCAACTAAGAATAAAAGAGATGGTTCATAAAATTGTCAAGAAAACATTGTATATCTCAATATTAATGATCATTTCGAATAGACAAACACCTTGTGAAATTTTTCGAAGCAACTGATGAGGACACCAATAGATGATAAACCCCTTCTTTTTCCCCTCTTGCATACAACATGAGATCATCTTAAAAAATTGACATATATACTTAGCTTCCTATTGACCCGGTTTAGCAACTGATCTAGTGGCATTAAAATTGTCACCCCATTTTTATCATTAGGCCATAGAATTAGAATAGGATGGATAAAATGGAGGAGTGCGTCCGGACTTCTATGTGATCGTGATATGCTAATTAGACTCGCCCTTCAATTTTACCAAACAACAATTAGACTTGAATTACTGTATGACGTAGAGTGTTGGACGGTGAAACGATGTTGCATTCAAATGATGAATGTGTTGATATGCACATGTTGTGTTGGATGTGCGAACATACTAGAAAAGACCACTTGAGGAATGAAACAATTCGGCAAAAGGTGACAACAACACATGTTGAAGATAAGATGTGGGGAGTTTCAATTGAGTTGGTTTGAAAATGGGGGTAGAAGACCATGTGATGCAGATGTTAGACAAATGGGGGTAGAGAGAGAGAGTGAGAGAGAGGGGGGGGGGGAACAAAAACCGACGTTAATTAGAGGGGTAAGTCGGCCAGGAATGATGTGGTATTTCAGGGATAGGATGAGAGTATGACATCGGACAGAGGAAGGGGATGTTCATGTTGAGATTTATCTCATTTTATCTTTTACCTCTTTCTCATCCTCTTTATTTTTTCTTTTTATCCTATCTTTTTATCTTTTTTTTAATCTTATTCTTATCTTTATCTTATCAATTTTCACCTTATCCTATCTTTTATTCGGTGGCGGCGAAAGAGTCTATCGAGCTCCCTACAATATGTCGGTTTCTGGATTTTTCCATCGCTAGTTTAATTTTTCTATTGATTTCTCGTTTCTTCGTCCGTCGATTTAGTTTTTAAAATTGTTAAACTCTTCTATGGGTTGCTAGTTTCTCGTTGAACTGTTTTTCGTTTGTTACTGGAGTCATTTTTCCGTAGGAATTGGAGTGGAGGGAGGCTACATCTTTGGTATCCTGGGTCGGTATAGATGTGGGGCAAAACTACATCAATAATTAATATGCTCATTTGGTTTATTGGCAAGGAAGTGGGGCTTTCTCCGGGCGGCAAGAGTGGCTGGGCAGAGTTCTTTTCTTCTTGTGTTCCTCTAGATTGTGTTTCGCTTCTAGAGGGGGCAAAGATAGGCTCCATTAAAGACGCTGTTGAGTAGGGCTTCACGATGTCAACCTATGTAGCACCGTAGCACCGATACGGGTACGCGAAAACGTGGAAACGCGGAAACGGGTACGGGGATACGACAAAACAAAAAAAGGTAGAATACAGATACGGGGCCATATCATGTTTGCAAATATTAAAAGTTATAGGGGTGTATTTATAAATAATAAAAATACAATTTTTTTTGACAAAAGATACACATATATTATCCTCTAAAATCTACCCATTCATGGCATTGAAACATATTACATTTTCAAGATACTTAGAAATAAATTCATATCTTATCTCATATACACTAGTTCATCTCGAAATATAAATATAGTCAATAAGTCATTAATTTAGAATGAGAAATAAGTCAAACAGCTACTGATGGATAGTGTACCCGGGGGTAGCTTGTCCGAGGGGTTATTGCGTAGAATAACTAGAGAGAAGTCAGAGCAAACAAGTAAGAGAGAGAGAGAGAGAGAGAGTCAGATGTATTAAATGATCTCCGCGTGCTTTACAAGGAGAATAAGGGCTGCTATTTATAGCAACCATAAATGCTAGGGGAGTACACGTGTCAAACATCTGACGGCCGAGGGTCACCTCAATCGGGGTGGCACCAACATTTGCATGTGCACCGCATTAAATGCGGTGGTTGCCTGTTCCCAACGGGAATCTTTGCTGATTGGGTTGTTACCGAAGGCTCTGTGCAGCCGAAGGCCCTGTGCAGCGAAGGCTTCGCTAGCGCCGAAGGCGTCTAGGAGCCGAAGGCTCCTATTTTCTGTCTTTTCTCCCAGCGACTTTGCATGCTTGAATCTGGCTGCCCTGTGGAATTTGAAGTCCTCGGCCATAGGGCCGAAGGCACCCATACGTGCATTGTGGGCTTCTTAACACTTAGGCCGCTGTGTCTGGGCTTTGTGTGATCATTGGGCTTGATGGGCCTGAGTAGGAGAAGTAGGAGTCTATGGGCCGGGGGTCCCTGGGCCATATACTCCATCAGGAGTCCCTCACTCCTTTTGCCGAAAGGTACTTGAGGGAAAAGGAGTAATTGTGTTGATGCGCTAATTCTACCGAAGACTTCCTTGCTGCGGAAGGTGACTCTGAAGGGTCTTTGCTTCTTTGGTACTTGTCGGGGGCATTCCCTCAGCTTCCCACATGCCGAGGGCTGAGGGCCTCCTGGGGAAGTGTTCACAAGTGTGCGTCTTCTATTGGTGCGAAGGCTGCTTTGTCACCCCTGGTTCATTTGTGAAACTTTCGACAATTTGTATTTTCCCGAAGGGTGTATTGACTGTGTATACCCAAGGGGTTGTGTTTATTATTTTGCCCGGAGGCTACACGTGTTATTTGCCAATGTCTATTTTGTTCATAGTTCCCCGAGGGGTTCTCCCAGTCCCCCACTCCTTTAAACTGAAGGCAAGTTCGAGTTGAAGGAGTTTAAAGTGATGTTCTATTCTGAGGGCATGTTCGGATGACAGATTGATGATGTGTGATAAGCCGAAAGGCTTATATTATTTTTGTTCGAAGGCATGTGGGACCCGAAGGCATGTGTTTCGAAGGGTGCCAGCTGATGCCACCTTGGTGCCTTAGAATATAGCCGTTGGGATATGACCGTTGGAGAGGGGGTCCACGTGGCATGCGTCTGTTAGCCGAAGGAGGGCGGGTGCCACCCATTGGCTGAAACCGCGGCCTGTAATGATGGGCTTTCAACCCGAGGCCCAGTTTCGAGGCTAACCCTGGTTGGGGGGCCTATAAATACCCCATGGCCGAACTCATTCCCTTTGTGCGATTTTGAGTTGAAGCGAAGCTCTGTCAAAATTTCTAGAGAAATAAACACCTGCCTTCGATCAAATCCAAGTTTTCAAGGTCAGTTCTTCATCTGTTCTTCGCTTCCCTAGCATATTTTGCTTCCTTGC